GGAAGGCCAGATACCAGGTGAGCAGAGAGGGGAGGGGAGTCAGGATGAGTGTTTTCTCAGCTTCCAATCAAGATCAATCACTATTTTGTGACCCAACAATTTCCTACAAGAGCAAGTGCCTTAAGATAATTAGATGGAAAGCAAAGCTGGAGACAGTGATATGCCTTTCAGTGAGAGATGAAGAAAAGCTCTAAAGATTGCATTTGGGTTGCTCAGTAAAAACCAGAGAGTATGTTTCTGAGCCTATTAACAACTACTCCCTGCAATATGGGTACCATCACTTTGGACTTATAAATACATTAGTGTCTTGGATTTTTTTTTCCATTTAAAAGCTCATACACCTAAAGGAATATACCACCTAGACTGAAAATAACTTCTTTTCGGACAGTCAAGAATCAACAATATTGAAAACACAGAAACAAATTTAGCCAAACAAGAGGGCGTCTAAATACCAGATAATGAGTTATACTCAAAACTGTATCTTCACTTTTCTTATAAATGAAATTGGTCAACTTCAGCTAAGAACTTTTCCCAGAGTTCTTACATTTTGTCCATACAAAGAAAACTTTCCTACCGGTTTTCAAATTTCTCTTACCAGTAATAATGGCAGTTAAATGGGCTAATGTACACTCTGATATTAAAAATTACCAAACAGGTTCACTGACTCTGACTCTTTAAAAAAATTAAGAATTAAGTTCTGACCTGAGCAAATAATTAATATCACAGAAAGGAATGAGAATATTGTAGCAGAAAAGATTCCTGAACTGACATTTGGCCCAACCTTCTCATTTTGCAGATCGAAGTTTCAGGTTAAAAGTGAAATTGTCCAGACTGGTGAGTGAAAGAGATGAGTACGAGGACTCATGTCATGTCTACCGACTTCCACTCGAAGGGGTTTCTTCTAGCCCACTTGTTCTCTGCTTCACTTTCCTTCTGCCCAGCTCAGGATTAGCTGTGAGGGCAATGAAAGAGCAACTCCCACTCTTGGCACATATACCCAGCGACCATTAAAAAAAAAAAATCACAGATGCTCTCCCACTCCAGAACTACCATCTTTTCTAATCCCCACTCAAGAGCCCACCTGGGGCTACCTAAACTAAACTGCCATTTCAAGCATAAAGACAAATATATAACAATGTTGTGATTCAGTTTCCATTTATAGCTAATCAAAGTCTGCCATGTTCAATCAGAATGGAAATACTGCTTTTAACCTTTTGTGAATTGGTATGAACAGTAACTGCAGTATGAAAGTAATAAATAAAGACTACATGCTGATAAGTAGACCATTCAGGGATTCATATTAAAACAGTCCCAATTCTAATCAACAGAGAGGATGCTGAACTATGTATATTTCAATGGCAAAGTAGACTCACATAAATACCACTTGAGACAATCCTCAAAAAGTAGGACCCTGACACCATGCAGGGCAGAGGGAAGGCAAAAAAGCAGACCACTGTGATTTCTTACAGTGCACAATCAAATAAAACTCAAAATAATTCTACTTCATGACTGTCACAAAGAAAGCCCCAACAGGAGACCAGCAACACCTATGCAGATTTTTTTAAAAAATAATCCCATCTGACAGAATTTGGTCATGAAGAACTCTTACATGTAGTTATTACTCAAAGAGAGATTCAATCCCAAGGGAAGTTCAGAATGTGTGGCAGTAAGGGACAAACCTTCTGCAGCTAAAGGAGCTGAAGGAGGGAACTGACCTGGAAGTTCTGTCATCTTTCAACCACTTGAACTTAGCAGTTCAATAAGTACACTTTTGTTATGGAGAAATCATAGTCATTATTCACTTAAAGCAAACCAGAATATAAAGAGGCCAGAATCATTCTGGATCACAAACTACGCCTTCATGAACCAGACAAGGCTTGATACAGATCTGGGAGCAACTTCTGAGAAACAATCTGTAGAACTCCATGTTAGCCCAGGGAAACCCTAAACCTCCTTTTTGGAACTTTTATCATTGATTTGTAAGACTCTCTAACAAAACGCTTGGTTTCTACACTGAGTACAACCAGGTCCAAGGATATAATCACTACGGTTTAGTACCAAACCATACATGAGTAAGTACTCATGAACATATACCATTAACCCATCCTAGATTAACTCAAACTACCACATGAAAGGCTTACCAATGGAACTACAGTTCATTCTAGCCGAATTCAGAAAAAATACTGAAGTTTAACCTAAGGAATCAACCACTCTTCTCATACTGAAGTAGCAACTACTGTTCACGGAAAAAAAAGGCTTAAAGAAAAAAAAAGTGTCAATATGCTCTTAGTTGAAATTACTGCAACTCCTTGACAGGCTTTATACTACATACTAATGCTAAACAAAATAACGCCAGTGGATAAGAAAATGTTAGCACCTGATTAAAACTTTAAAGGTGATTTGTCAAAGACCAACAGATAAAATATTCTGGTGCCCAGACATTAGGTCCCTGAATCCAGGTGGCTCTCTTTCTAACCAGTCTCTTGAAAAGCTATGATTGGAAGCTGTCAGCATAAAACTTTGCTTTTGAATGTGATAACAACATTTGGAATGTGAACAAGTACTTGGTCCTTCAATACAAAATATACAAGCATGCTAAACAAGAAGAAAATGCTTCTCAAGATCCCCTTAAAAATAGACTAACTTCTCCTAATAGAGACGTTCTTATTATACTCAAGTATACATGGGCTAAAATTCTACATATAACCAGGCAAGTCTCAGTTTTGAAAATAAGCAGGTAAATGAAATGTCAGTAAGTCTATTTTTTTTTTTTTGCTGCTGTATCTTTTAAAAAAGCAAAATCAACTCACATTTAAGCACCAACTCCATGCAAGTAACCTGAACGGTTCAGTCTTTTTGTCATGTATGAGGCCTTTGGTTCTCCAACTACATGGGATCTGTGTTGTTAGCTTAAAAAATACAGAATTGGCCTTTCAAAAAAAAATAATAATCTACAGCAACCAATAAATAGTCTCAAACAACCCTGCTCACTGCAGCTGCCTTCTGAAGGCTGGGAAAAGGAGGTGGAGAGAGAGCAGAGAGAGGCAGGGAAGAGGGACGCTGCAGCTAGCTACAGAGCAAGGAACACGCCCCCATCATGTCCTCCTTGCTCTGTCAGAAGGCGGGTTGTTGTCAGTCTCCTCATCATGCTGCCTTAGAAACGATTTAAAAAAGGAGGCAGGAAGACTAACAACTAAAAAATGCCAGCTCCTTGAAAGGAGGGGCCAGGGTCCCTGGGATCTCCTCCCTCCCCTTCTTCCCAGGATCCTTCCGTAGATCTAAAGGGGTGCGGGGCACAATAGGGGACCAGGGGTTTGCCCAGGATATTTTGTGTGCACCAACGGCAGAGCACGCAGGAAACGGCTGGTTGTTATCTTTCCCTTTCTGTTTCAATCAAGAGCACTCCAGAGCAGCAACCCCCTACCCACTCGGCTTCAGCCCCAAGCAGCTGCTCTTCCTCCTTCTAGCATCCCCCCCATGCCATTCTGTCCCATCCCCTCCAATTCAAACTCCCCCTTCTGCATCCAATGGAAAACAAATGCGCAACGCCACTGGCTGAACCTGAACTTCCCTTCCCAGGGCAACTTTCCTTTTGGCTGAAGGGGGCCGAATAATGCCTATCAAAGCCTCCCCATTCTCCTCCCGGTACTAATAGGGAAGGAGCAAAGCTCGAGACCCTTCATCCTCCCTGGGTCCCCCTTAAAACAAATCAGAGAGAGAGCCCTAACTCCTTCTAAGGAATAACTCTGCTTCATAAGCTCTTCATAACCCTCTTTTTCTCCACCAGAAGCAGCCACCAGTAAAACTGTCCCTTATCTACTCTCCTCACCCCAACCCTGCTTCCCCCACCCCTTCCAAGCCCCAGGATTGGCCTAGGAAAAGGTGGATCAATAATGAAATGACGGAGAAAAGGAGAAGGGCGGGAGGGAGCTAGGGCTGGAGACTGCGTGCTCTCAGGCACAGTGGGTGGGGTAGGAGAGCAGCAGCTGCTTCCCCTGGGAGGATGCTGCCCAAGTCCCCCACAAACACCTCCCCTCACGGGGGCCCCCTTCCCCAGAGCTGGAGGGGAAAGCCTGCCTCCTCTCCAGGGGAAATGGTGGAGAGCTGCTCTTCTCTGAGGCCGAGGGACAGTGGACTATTTTCCCCCGCAAAGATGCCACTAATCCTTCATTCTAAAGGAGGGAAAGGGGAGTGAAGTAGTGTAAGCCCCTGCTACCCGGAGGCTAGAAACTGCAGCTCTGTAAGATGGGGGGAAACAGACTGCTGTACGAAGAGATCACCGTTATCTTCAGAGGGAAAGGAGGCGAAGGGAGAAAGGTGGAGAGGAAAGTAGCTTTTTCCTGGTGGGGTAGGGCGGGATGACGGGAGGACCTCTCTGCTGGGGGTGCGGGGTGGGGGCGCGGGTGGAGGTGAGGGAAGGGGGAGTGGCTGCTGGTGTAGGGACCTGGTCCGGGGACCGGGCGAGGGTTCACCAGGTCTTCGGAAGCAAGGTGCTGGAAGGGACACCGATCCCCAAGGGTGGGAGAAGAACGTGGCTTTGGATGGGGCCATCACCCGAGAGATGCCCGAGAGGAAAACTGCCCCAGGAGTAAAACATCTGCCCAGAGAGGGAGGCGGAGATGTGGCGGGATCAAGTCTCTAGGAAGGGAGGGAGGGAGGAATCTTGCTCGGATGAGGTAATCTGTGAAAGGGAGGAGGGGTTCAGTCCCGGGATGGGAAACCCGGGAGAGGGGTCTGTGCCAAAGGATTTGGGGAAGGGTCAGGGCAAGGAGGGTCGGGGGCAAAGGCCCTCGGCCAGATGGGTCCGAACCCCGGGGTGGGGGCGCCTGGGGGTCTGCACCCCGGTATGGGGGACCCGAGATGGGAGGGCCGTCTGCCCCGGGTCAGGGACCCCGGGATGGTCCCCGAATTGGGATGCTCCACAATCCCGGATGGGGGAGGGGAGGGGGGCTCCGCAGAGGGTCGAGACCCCGGACCTAGGGGGTTCCTCGCCCCCTTACCTCTCCGCTGCCGCCTCCCCCGCCGCTCTCCCCAAACACGGCCCGGAACCGGCGCAGGTTGGTGCCGATGGCGGCCGAGACCTGCAGCGCCGCGTCGAAGCCCGGGCCCACCCGGAGCAGGGCCGGCCCGGAGGAGGCTGAGGACGATGACGAAGACGAAGACGAGGCGGACGACGAGGAGGCTGCTGAGGCGGCGGCCGCTCCCCCTGGAACCCCGGCCCCGCCGCTTCCCGCCGCCGCCGCCGCGGCCGCCACAGCCGGGGGGGAGGGGGGCGCCCCGGGGCCGCCGCCGCCGACCGGGGGCCCAGGGGGAAGCAGCAGGGCCGGGACGCGTTGCCGCGGGGCGCCCCCTAGGCCCCGGCGCCCCCCGCCGCCGCCGCCCCCGGTGGTCCCGGGTCGGGCGGGGAAGCGCCACCGACAGCTGTGCGCCATGTTCGCCCCGTGAAGTGAAGCAGCGAGAGGGAGAGGCGACAACACAGGGGGGCGGGGAGGCGGAGGGGGGGGCCACGGGCCCCGGAACCTGCCTGGGCCGCCCGGCGCCGCCCGGCCGCCAGCAGGCCGCCGCCGCTATGCCGAGCGCCGGGCCGCGCCAACCAGCCCGGCGAGCTGTATAGCGGGTTTAGGCCCGCCCTGCCGACGCCGGGCCGCCGCTACGCCATCCCGAGGCCCGGGCCGAAGCCTGCCGCCCGCCCGCCCGCCCCGCAACCTGGATAACTGCGTGCCCCGCCCTCCGGGAGCGGCAGACTCGGGAGAAGGCGGGGGGGGGGGAGGAAGCCCAGGAGCCCGACGCGGAGCGCGGGTTCCGGGGAGAGGGGGAGGGGCGAGGGCTACGGGGAGGATGGAGGCGGAGGGAGCCCCGCCGCTCGCAGCCTCGAGAGCCGGGAGGCCGATTACACACGTTCCCGGGATGCGCTGGGAATCGAACCGCCCTGGAGAGCCGCTTCCAGTCTAACGCGGCTGCCGGGTCGGGGACGAGTGCGCCTTCTCCGCCTCGAGGCACGGATGCGAGATGGGTTAGCCCGGATTTAACGCTTCTAGAATAAAAGAGCCCTTATTGTGCTACAGGCAAGACGGAATTGTTGCCCAGTTTACTCTATGCAAAATAGTATGGCCCTCAATGAATGCGCTTTAAAAAATAAAAAAAAATTTTAAAAAGCCCCTCCCATTTTCATGCTGGAGCTCTCTCCAAATGCGTACACCGAGTGGTTCAGGCTCCCGCCACCTCCTCTTCCTACTGTGCACTCGGGGTTGGGGAACGTCTGGTTTGGGGGCCCTTCTGCAGAGAGTTGGACTGTTTCTCCGGCCCGGGCACTGGGGCCCCGGCGTGCTCCGCTAACGAGGCGGCGTTACCACGAAGCTGAAACTGGGTGGCTAACGGGGCCTGGAGGAAAGAGGCGGGCAAAAGCGCCCCCGCCCCTTCTTCCTCCGTTCTCTGCCTGCCGCTGCATGCAAAGCAGACCCTAATATATGCACGCGGAGGGAGGGGGGCTCGCGAGCACGTTTCTGATTAAGAGAGGGGGAGGAGAAGAGCGTTGAGCATTATGATACACTGGGTGGAAAGGGGCCCGCCGGCGGCGAGCTCTGTGCGCGGGGTTAGTGGGCAGAGGGGGGAGGGGGAAGGAGGAGGGTTAGGGCGGGGGGTGCATATCCACCCCGTTTACTTTATTGCGGGAAAGAGGGGAGGGCGCCTCAAGCTAGGCGTTAGAAGCCTGCGAGGCTGGGAAAGCACAGAAGGGAGGGAGGGGTTTGTACTGGGAGAACTTGCGTTGGCTGAGGCTGGGGGATCGATACACAGCCTGCAGGCCTCGGGGCAGCCTCCATCACCCCCCCCCCCACCCCCAACTCCCCGGCCGAGGTGGAGTTCGCTGGAAGGTCACGCAGCCTTCCTGGACTCCCGCACCCGTACGGCGCCGGGCCAGTAATATAACAGCCTGGGGCGGCGAATTTGGGGAGGAGGGGGAGGGTCGTGGTGTGCAGGTTGCAATCAGCTCTGGCCCTCTGGAGGGTGCTCTGCACGCCTCCAGAGAAGGTCCACGGCCTCCTGGTGCTGAAAACCTACGTCCCTCCACCCGCGAAACGTTTGTGCTGAGCGAACGATGGGGTGGGGGGCTAGAGGAGCGGAGAAAGGGAGGAGACACAGGCAAGCTTCAACTCCCCCAACTCGTCCCGGATCGATCGTGGTTCCAACCGCGCAGGATGGAGCCCAGATGGTTTGCAAAGCGCACACTCACACAGAGCGCACACACAGAACCAGATTCCGTTGTTACATCGCGTGGTTTACTAGGTGCAAAAAGGGTGGGAGTAGGGGAAGAGTCTCTTAAACGGCAGCCCCAGGACTCTGCTAAGGACATAGACACCCCATTGTGGACGGTTTCTCCATTGCAATATATTTAGCGTTAGGCGCTGGGGGTTTTGCTTCAGTGTCGCTGCTCTGATCAGTTACAGATTGGCGACCACGTGGATTCCCGCAAGCATCCTGATTTGTTCCCCCTCTCACTCTCTCTCGCTTATTTTTCTTTTGTATTTGCCGCCCCCCCCCCTTTCTTTAATATGCATAACGGTCTACAGAGGTAATAGGCAGGGGACTGAGTGACAGGCTTTACAAAACTGTGTCAACAGGATTTCTTCCCGTCCTCCACCCCTGAGAATACATAAACCTGCTGGGTTCTGAGTAACCTCTTCATTTCAAGCATACTTCTTGGGGCACAGGTGGGAGGTCTTCAGGTTCAGTGGGGACAGCAGGAAGGAAGAGTGTCCCTGAAGATTGTGTGAAGTCCTCAGACTCAAGCCTCCAAGTAGAAAACTCCTTGATAAAAATCATCTCTTTGCCTCCTGACTAGTCCAAAAGGAGCACGAGCAAGTCAGAATTTGGTTTATTGTTGGAGCTCTTAAGGCAGAAAGAATAACATATCTGTCGAGTGCTTTCTGTGAGCCTGAGTGCTTTATCCACGTTCAGTTCTCACCAACCCTCCAAGATAATTCTGATTTTATGAATGGGGAAACTGGTGTATTGTCCAAAATCACAGGGCTAGTAAGTAAGTGCAAGACCAAATCTCACTGGGGTTTAACCATACTGCTGAATCCCCGAAAGACATACTCACAGTCATTAGGATGACTATTATTTTTTTAAAAAATAGAAAACAAGTGTTTGTGAAGATGTGGAGAAATTGGGACCTTTGTGCACTGTTAGCAGGAATATAAAATGGTGCAACCATTGTGGAAAACAGTATGGTGGTTCCTCAGAAAAAAAGAATTACCATATGATCGAGCAATTCCACTTGTGGGGAAGTGGAATTATATACCCCCCAAAACTTGAAACCACAGTCTTCAGGAGATATTTGTATACCCATGTTCATGGCAGCATTATTCACGATAGCCAAAACATGGACACAAACCCAGTATTCATCAACCAATGAATGGATTACCAAAAGGTGGTATGCTCGTAGAATGTTATTTGGCCTTAAAAAAGGGAGGGGGGAAAAAAGGAAGGGAATTCTGAAATATGTTACAGGGTGGATGAATGTTGAGGACATTATAGTAAGTGAAATCAATCAATCATAAAAAGATGAATATTGTGTGATTCCATTTATATGGGGCTTCCCAGGTGGCTTCTCTGATAGCTCAGTTGGTAAAGAATCTGCCTGCAGTGCAGGAGACCCGGGTTTGATTCCTGGGTTGGGAAGACCCCCTGGAGAAGGGATAGGCTACCCACTCCAGTATTCTTGGGCTTCCCTGGTGACTCAGCTGGTAAAGAATCTGCCTACAGTGTGGGAGACCTGGGTTCGATCCCTGGGTTGGGAAGATCCCCTGGAGAAGGGGAAGACTAACCACTCCAGTATTCTGGCCTGGAAAATTCCATGGGCTGTATAGTCCCTGGGGTCACAAAGAGTTGGACACAACTGAGCAACTTTCATGTCACTCCCAGGTGGCACTAGTGGTAAAGAATCTGCCTGCCAATGCAAGAGACATAAGAGATGTGGGTTCGATCCCTGGGTTGGGAAGATCCCCTGGAAAAGGGCATGGCAACCCATTCCAGCATTCTTGCCTGGAGAATTCCGTGGACAGAGGAGCCTGATGGTCTACAGTCCCTAGGGTCGCACAGAGTCGGACACGACTGAAGCGACAGCACACACACTTATGTGAGGTACTTAGGGTAGTCAAAAACATAAAGACAAAGTATAATGGTTGCCAGAGGATGGAGTGAGAGGAGAATGGGATGTTATTGTTTAATTGGTAGAATTTCAGATTTATAAGTTGAAACAAGCTATGGGGATGGATGTGGTAATAGCTGCACAACAATGTGAATGTATATATATTTTTTGGCTGTACCAGGTCTTAGCTGTGGCACACAGGATCTTAGTTGCAGCATGTGAAATTTAGTTCCCTGCCCAGGGATCAAACCCAGGCCCCTTGCATTGGGAGCACAGAATCTTAACCACTGGACACCAGGGAAGTCCCAACAATGTGAATGTATTTTTTAAAAGAAGACATTCTATGCCTTACTCATAAGTTACTGTTCACTGCATGTGCTTTATTATTTTTTATGTTAAATTTTAATTGTTTATTTTTCTTGAATACCTAATATATACGTATGGTTACAAATTTAAAGAAATAAAGTTTTCACTTTACTCTTAACTTCCCTTCCCTTCCCTCCCACAGTCATACCTTATCCTTTCTTAGTGGCAACTAAGGTTATCAGTCTCTTGTATATTCTTCAAAAGATAGTTTATACCTATACAAGCAAATAGATACAGAAGTTTTTCCACAAATGAAAGACTATCAACCCCATTTCCTGGATCCTGCTTAGAAATCTGTATCTTAGAAATCATTCTGATCAGTGGACAGAATTTCCTTATTCTTGAAGGGGCTATATGGAACAGATGAAGCATAATTTATTTAACTAGCTCTCTGTTAGTGTACACAAGTTATTTCCAAACTCTCAAACAGTCCTGTAGTGTACAACCTTGAACATATCTTATTTTGCAAATGTGTAACTATATCTGTAGTATACTTTCTAGAAGTGGAATTGCTAGGTCAAAAGGTATGTACACTTATAATTTTGATAAATGTTGTGACATTGTCCCCTATAAAGACTGAGTTGCCCCCTTGTTAAGATTGTACTAATTCATACTCCCAGGGTTCCCAGGTGGCTCTAGTGGTAAAGAACTCACCTGCTAGGGCAGTAGATTTAAGAGACAAGGGTTCGATCCCTGGGTAGAAGATCCTCTGGAGGAGGGCATAGCAACCCACTCCAGTGTTCTTGCCTGGAGAATCCCATGGACCGAGGATACTGGCAGGTTGCAGTCCATGGTGTCCCAAGAGTCGGACATGACTCAATCAAAACTTAGCATGCATGCAATTCATACTCCTACACTCTAATGGCAGAAAGTGAAGGGTAACTAAAGAGCCTTTTGATGAGGATGAAAGAGGAG